TGTGCTCAATCCACTGAGCCACATCAGCCAGGGCTGATTTTTTAAAAGTAAATTATATATTTATTTATATTTAGATACTTGTTTTGTATTCTAAAAGAATTTTAGCATTTATTTTTGAACATTATGGTACAAGAGATTTTATGTAACAAAATAATTACAAAACACAAGAACAGATACAAGGTATTTCAGGCATTGCCCATGTATTATACGCATCCTTATTTTTCCCTCAAAAATTCAGGCAAAATAGTGTGTATTATACATAGCATAATACAGTAGTTAGAGTCTTAGATAATAGAACCAATCATGCAGGATAATTCACGCATACTAGAATTGTTTAAAACTTTAAAAAGTTGAAAAATTCTACTTAAAAAATTATTTAATTTTTTTCATTATCAAACAAAAGTGAAACCTTAAAAAAAATCTTGGTCACATTCAGAGGAGCTGTTTATCTCATTACAAGCCTCACACATACATCAGATTTGACAGTGATCACAAAGTGGCAGGTATATAATTGAATAAAGGAATCAAATTATTTGAGATAATAGCTTACTGAATAGCAGGATCATATACCTATTTAAGTGAACAATTAGGGGTAATAAATAGGTTTTATAATGCTAGAAAAGATTGTGTTAGAAAATAGCACAGGTGACTTTGTGATATGTATCAGAACTGCTATATAAATCCCATTACAACCTAGTGTTGTTTCCCCCAACATTTTACTAGGCAATTTTCAAACATATATCAAAGTTGGAAGAATTTCATAACTATACCCACATGTAGAGTCCGCCATTAACATTTCATTCTACTTACCACCTCTTCACCCATCTATATCCTCTCTGCATCCAGCAATTCTTATTTCCTTTTGATGCATTTTAAAGTTAATTGTAGACAGTACACTTTTTCCTATATTTTAGCGTGCCTATCATTAACCAGAGTTAATATGTTTGTGGTGTTTTTTGAGGTAAAATTTAATACAAGTAAATACACACATCTTAAGTGTATATTTGCTGAGCTTTGACAAATGCGTAGCTGTAAACTCTTCTCAGGATAAAGAATATTCCATTGCCCCAGATAGCTCCTTCATGCTCTTTCCCAGTTGGTCTCTGCTCCCTTCCCTTACCCAGTGCAACAACTTTTGTTATTTCTTTTCCACCACAGATTAGTTTTGCCTGTTCCAGAACTAAATGTAAATGTAATCATACAGTCTGTACTCTTCTATATAGGCTCCTTTTGTCCCACACATTGATTTTGAAATTCATCCATCCATTTGTGCATATCAGTACTGTTACTGTTTACAGCTGAGTAGTGCTCCTCATATGAGCATATACCTCAGTTTGTTTATCCATCTTCCTCTTGGATACCTAGCTGTTTACAGTTTCTGGCTCTTCTGAATGAAGCTGTTATGAATATTCTTATATGGGTCTTTTTGTAGACACGTTTTATTTTTTCCTGGGATAAAGAGTAGAATTGTTGGACTCTAGGATTAATGTACGTTTAGTTTTATACTAGACCTTTTTCTGTGGTTGTACTGTTTCACGTACCCACCAGTATTGTATGAGAGTTATGGTTGTTCCACATCCTTGGCAACTTTGGTGTTGTGTTTTAAATTATCTACCTTTAAGCACTGTCATTGATAAATGATTTGAAGAAAAGTGATACCTGTTAGTTTTTATTATTCCCCTAGGTAAAAATTTAAAAATTAATTATACTACTTATTTATTGTTCTAATTATTATTTTTGAATTATTTATTATTATTTTAAAACTTTTTTTATTGATTATGCCATTACATTTGTTCTATTTCCCCCCTTCATTCCCCTCCACCCTGCACACCCCTCTGTCACCATTCCCCCCTTTAGTTCATGAACATGTGTATCAGGTTCTTTAGATTCCGTATTTCCCCTACTATTCTTACCCTCCCCCCTATCTATTTTCTATCTACTGTCTATGCTACTTATTTTCTGTACCTTCTCCCCCTTCTCCTTCTCCCACTTCCTGTTGCTAACCCTCCATGTGATCTTCATTTCTATGGTTCACTCCTGATCTAGCTGTCCTCTTAATTTGCTTTTGTTTTAGGTGTGGTTGTTAATAACTGTGAGTTTGCTGTCCTTTCACTGTTCATCTTTTTTATCTTCTTTTTCTTAGGTAAGTCCCTTTAACATTTCATACAATAAGGGCTTGGTGATGATGAACTCCTTGAATTTGATCTTATCTGAGAAGCACTTTAACTGTCCTTCCATTTTAAATGAAAGCTTTGCTGGATAGAGCAATCTTGGTTGTAGGTCTTTGGATTTCATGACTTGGAATACTTCTTTCTAGCCCCTTCTTGCCTGTAAGGTCTCTTTTGAGAAATCCACTGACAGTCTGATGGGAACTCCTTTATAGGTGACAGTCCCCTTAGCTCTTGCTGCTTCTAGGATTCTCTCCTTCATTTTAATCTTGGCTAATGTAATGATGATGTGCCTTGGTGTGTTCCTTCTTGGGTCCAACTTCTTTGGGACTCTCTGAGCTTCCTGGATTTCCTGGAAGTCTATTTCCTTTGCCAGAATGGGGAAATTCTCTTCTATTATTTGTTCAAATAAGGTTCCACTCGTGACTGTTCCTCTTCCCCTTCTGGTACCCCTATAATTCGAATGTTGGAGCGTTTAAAGATGTCCTGGAGGTTCCTAAGCCTCTCCTCATTTTTTGAATTCTTGTTTCTTCATATTTTTCTGTTTGGTCATTTTTTCTTTCTTTCTTGTCTATTCCCTTGGTTTGAGTCCCAGTTTCCTTTCCATTACTATTGGTTTCCTGTGCATTTCCATTCATTTTAATTAGTTTAGCCTTCATATGTTCCTCTAATTTGTGACTAAAATCAACCAGTTCTGTGAGCATTCTGATCACCAGTGTTTTGAACTGTGCATCTATTTGAACTGTGCATCTATGAAAGTTTGGCTATTTCTTCATCACTTAGATTTATGGGCTCTGGGGCTCTGAGTTGTTCTTGAGCCATGTTTTGATCTGTTTGTGCCTGTTACATATGAGGAGAGGCGCCTTAGGAGTTCACCAGGGTGGGGCCACCCAGGTCGCTGGGTTGTGTGTGATGCTATATGTGGGGGCAGGGTCAGAGAGGGAGCAATGGCGGCCCTCTTCGCTCGCCCCACTGCTTGCCCCCGCCTGTTTATCTGAGCGGAAATGTGCGAGCCTGCCACCCTGCCCCGGGGCCTGCTTGGTCTGTCTCAAAGCACGTCTCCACTGGTTTATCTGGGCACAAATGCGTGACCTCAGACAGCCAGCCACGCCGGGCCTTCCCACGGCTACCCCGCACCTGGGATCTGTGCCCTCGGCTGCTTCCTTGCTGCCCTTGCTGCCCGGGTCAGGGAATCGTTTTTGCCCGACCCACTCTGCTGCTGGCTTTGCCCCTCTCACCTGTTTAGCTGAGCAGTTTGTCATTTTTGGACTCCATATTGTTTGATTTTCTGTGATTTGGTTGCGTTTATTGTTGTTAAAACTTTGTTGTTTTTAGATTTGGTTGTGGGAGGAAGTGTTTCCACCTATGCCTTCATCTTGGCAGAAGTCCTAATTATTATTTTTTTAAGGCTTTTATTTTGACATATATGCAGGTTTACAGAAAGTTGCCCTAGACCATTCTTCAGCATTTGACAGTTTTCACCAGTTTTTAATTTAAATATTCTTTTCCTTCCTGTATAAGAAACCATTATCTCATGGTTTTTCACCAACCACTCATTGCAGTTTCTCTGTATGATTTTCATTCTCTGTGGACTCCTTGTAGTTATTCTCTGTTTTAGCCTTAATACTTTGTTTTTTATTCTGTAGAACTCTCCTGGGTGATTTTACTCAAACCCATGGCTTCAGTTGCTACCTGTGCTCTGACCCCTAAATGTGCTTCTGCAGCTCAGATCTCTTTCTTCACTCTTAACTGCAGACTACGTATATCTCTCCATTCGGATGTTCCACGGATATCTCATACTCAGTTTATTCAAGTTGAATTTATTGTTTTTGCTTCCCTTTACATACTGCTCATCTTCCTATGTTTTCTAATTTGGTAAATAACCTACAATGCATTTAGCTAGCTACTCAAGTCAGAACCCAGGGGCTAAATCTGGACTCCTTCTTCCTTCAGCCTTTGATCTCTAACTTGTCTGCTCTGTCTCCAGGGTCATGTCTGACCTTCTACTCGCAGGTTCTTCCCCTCTGCACCCCACTTGCTTAATGCTGACTGACTCATTTTATTTTTTAATAGCTTATTCAGGTTTCTAAATTACAAAAATGGCATATGTGTCTTGTAGAAATTGAAACAAAACAGAAATTTATAAAATTTTTAGTCTCCCCTCCCCCCAACTTTCAAGCCATTTCTAGCCTCCAGAAATAACCAGTGTTAATAATATGTTGGTGTATATCCTTCCATATTTTCCTTCTATTCAAACACACACACATTCTTTTCAAAACAGAATGTTACAATACTATTGTTTTACAGCTTAATTTTAAGTTAATAAAACATGTTATTGTAGAGAGCTATCTGAAATTCATGTAGACTATCAATATAACACAATATGTTTAATAATTTCCCATTAATGGATAATGAATAATGCTGCAGTGAACATTCCTATATATATTGTTTACTTTAGGTAGTGTTTTGTTGCATAGATTATTAGAAGTAGGATTATATACATTTTAAATTTTGTTAAATTTGCCAGTGCCCTTCAAAAAGATGGCAACTTTATACTTTCCTACTATTACAGTACCAGAGGCTTTCTCCCTTGTCATGCTAGGTATTTATTAATCCTCTAACAATTTTTAGTTTTTGCCAATTTAATAGGCAAACTATATATAGTATTGCGAGTATTTAAGGATAGAATCTTTTTTATTCTGAAGATGCCCTGTGACCATCTTCAACCTTTTCTCAATATCCTTTCCTATTTGGATTAGGCGACTTCTTGCTCTTGAACAAGGGAGATGCTTGGAAAGATGATTTGTTTCTGGTGTGTGTTTCTGCTGACAGGAGAAGCTCCTAAAGACTCAACAGAGTCTAATGGCCAAGATGGAGAAAGTCACACATTTACAGGACGCGGAAATGAAGAATGCTGCAGAGTGGAAGGTAACAGCAGAAGTGGTTGGCTGTTTCTTGTCTCTGAGGTCCTTTCAGTCTGCAGCTGCTCATGTGATTATGCTGGGATGAGCTTTGTAGGATGCCATCAGTTGCCGTGCCCCTTTGAGCATAAGGTGATAGAACAGGGAGTGCAGACCTGTGAGTTCCATACATTTCATATCCATCTCTACTTTAAGGCAGTGCCCCTGTCGTACTTTTGCCTAAGATTGGAATTGGTTTGTGTCCATGGCATTGTGGGAAGTAAACAGACTTTGTTTTCCGAAATGCTTTTCTGGTTGGGAGGCATGATGTGTGTGCACACATGCATATCTAAAGATTTAACAAAACAGAACAGCAGGTGTTCTGAGGGCTAAACTAAATAGTAGATGTGAATGTTCTTTTTGGTTTAGAAAATCTACAAACAAGAAAGGCATTGCTAGCAATAGTAGAGACTCAGGTGTTACAAAGAATGAATTAATACTATAAAGATAAGTATAAAGATATCAAGTAAGTAAAGGAGTAGTGGAAATTTATGGGGGCTGGGCAGGAGCTTTTCTGGAGGAGGTAATTCAAATAGGACCATGGATTACTGGGGGGTCACGTGCAAGGAGTTTAGGAGTAAGGACTAGGTAGAAACAAAAACTGAGCAAATCTCCTGTGGCTCTAGGACAAGATGAATAACCAGCAGTTGAGAGTCAGTGTCCAGTTTGCAAAGCTGCACCACTTCCTGGAAGACGAAGAGCAACTGTTTCTTCAGAGGCTGAGCGAAGAAGAAAAAGAGACAAAGAAGAAACAAGCTGAGAACACATTAAGGCTCAGTCGGACGATCACTTCCTTAAAGAATCTCATGCTAGAGGTAGAGAAGAAGAGTCAGAGCTCCACCCTGGAGTTGCTTCAGGTGAGACGGGCTGGGGAAAGGTTAGTTAACAGTGCTCACTGAACTCCTGTCTTTAAAGCTGGATGTCTTTCTTAGTGAGTGGAATTAATAGAAGAACTGTTTTCTCTCTGGTGGTGATCGAATTACTACTGTCATTATATAATTAGAGAATCAAAGATTTACTATTCCAAGGAAATTAATGTAAAAAATAGGTATGATTCACTTGGTCTAATAACTTACCTAAGATCTGAAGCATATCTAAGACTCTTCTATTTGTCTTATTTATGTTTGTATAGGGTGGGGCAAAAGTAGGTTTACAGTTATTAGTATGGGAAATAATACAATAGTTAATAAATAATAATACAATAATAAATTCTGTGTTTTGAATGCTCATAACTGTAAACCTACTTTTGCCCCACTCTGTATATACCAGCAAATCAAATACTCGTATAAATGAGCTAAGCATGCCAACTCAAGAAGGTGGGTAAAGACCTACAGAGCAAACACCACAAACTACTATGGAAAAACAATAACGAAAAGAGCAGATAATGATTTTACTATAGCATTGTTTGTAATGGTGGTGATGCTGGGGACAACCTGGATAGTATTTGTAGTTTTATCAAGTTGTGCAGTCCTTTCCATAGTCCAGTTTTAGGGTATTTCCATGAGATCCCTCTTATGTTTGTTTACAGTTCATCTCCATTCTTACCCCCAGCCTCAGACTACCTACTTTCTGACGCCATAGATTTTCCTTTTTTGGCTATATCACACAAATAATCATATGTATTCTTTTGTGTATGTATTTCATCTAGTATAATGTTTTTTGAGGTTCATTCACATTGTAGCATATATTAGTATTGCATTTACATTTCTTGTTTTAATTCTTGAATAGTATTTCATTGCACAATATGCCAAGTTTTGTTTATTTTTTCAGCAGTTGATGGGCATTTGGATGATTTTCACCTTTTGGCTATTATGAATGGTGCTGCTGTGAACTCTGTTCACCATTCTCTGTGTGGACATATGTTTTAATTTCTCTTGGGTAGATAGTAGGAGCAGAATTGCTGGGCTGTATGGTATATTTATATTTAACTTTTCAAGAAGCTGCCAGACTCTTTTTCAAAGTGGCTGAACCACTTTATGTTACCACCACATCCTTACCAACATTTGTTATTATCTGCAATTGAAAGAGAATAGAAGTTTGCAAAAACAGGAGAGAGTTAATGTCATAGTGCTAAAGGAGGAAGAATAAGATTTCAAGGAAAGAATTGATGGACATTGTCAGATATTATGCTGAGGTCACATGAAAAAAAAAAGGACTTCATTGTGTCCGTTCATTGGCTCTGGCAGCATGAGATCATATGTGACAAAAACAAAAGTAACTGACAGAAAAATACCTGCTCACAAAGTCGAGTACCAGATCTCAAGAGGAAGGTACATAACTTACTCATTTCTTTCTTCTCTTAACAGAATCCAAAAGATCTTTTGATCAGGTATGAACTTCTTCTTACTTATGGGGTCTGAGTGGAATAGTAAAAATATACCTTGAGCATAAGGGAAACAAGGCCAGGCTCCATAGGTCAATCTGGGTGCACCCTAAGGGTCTGTGGAGGAGAAATTCTGTTCATTTTTGCAAGGAGGAATAGAAGAGAAGTTGTCTAAGCTTTGGGCTTGGACTCTTCACATGGGATTTGGGGTCTTAGCTGCCCTAGTTGTCTATTAAGAGCTGCCTTCTGTGCTTTCTTTAGGAGTGAGAACCAGGATGTAAACTATTCCGTTGAAGTTCTACAGGTGAAGACTCAGTGCCATGTACCATTGATGAAGGAAATGCTGAAGCGATTCCAAGGTGAGCAGAATTTCTAGGAGTTGGAGCTCCTTACAAGTCTTTCAGTAAGAGAATAAACAGAGAGAAATCTGGAAAGGAATGAGGAAGCAGCATATACAGCTAACAGGAGGGTCAGGAAAAATGGTAACTACTTAGGAATAAATGGATTTATGCTTCATTTGAGAATCATTCATTTAACACATACTGTGTATTATAAGGCGGCAGCTGTACAAAGAGAAAGGACCCATTCCTTCTAACAATTCATAAGCAAATTGGGGACACAGACACATATCACTGTAATATTGTAGGATCCATTGTATTGGTGGTATGAATAAAATATTACAGAAGTACAGAGGAAGACCTCTGATGGGGGGTGAAGTAGGGAAGTTTTCACAGCAGAGTTGATAGCTCTGGGATTTGAGGGGTGACTTGGAGCTTGCCACATGAAAAAGGGAGTGTACCCTTCCAAGCAGAGGCAGCAGCATGAGCTAAAGGTGTGGAGAAAATGGAATGGAGTTTATCCAGTGTGACTAAACCATAAGGTGCATTGTGGGGAAAGGCAGAGGATGAGGCTGAGGCTGAGAAGAAGAGTGTCAGAAAGGCTGATGACAAATTTTGTGGATCTGTAGGGAAGTACCAAGGCATATACATGTTACAAATGTGAAACAGACAAGGAGAACCCTATGATTACTCCAGCCTGTAGCCTTGAGAGTGCTTTCTGGCCATCGTAGGGAAGGTTCACAGAGATGGAGCCAAGTAGACTCCCTGAGTTGAGCAATGGAACTGAGAGTCCAGGGAGAAAAAAAAAGTGAGAGTTTGCAGAATACTGGAGAGGAGAGAGCTATACAGAGAGAGAGCCCTGATGATTTACAGAGGTACCTGCTGAGTTTTCAGCGGAGTACCTATCCACACATGCTTGTGAAGAACTACCTGAGGTTGAGGAAGTTTCCAAAATGATTGTAAGGAACAACTTCTGGTGCTAAGGTAGGAATGATGCCTGTGTCAACCAGCCAGACTGGAGCACTCCTAATTTATGGGGTACCAGATGGAGTACTCAGGAAAATCTTGACTAATTAGTGGGGAATAATTAACCCTACATTGATTAGTGTGTTGGATCCACCTTAAAAATCATGAAAGAAGACCCCAAATGATCAAATTATTCCCTAGTAACTGCATGCCAGGACAAGCTCAAGAAGATTGATTGGAATTTTTTAAAATGAGTATGTACTTAATGTAAATGCACAATGTTTCACATCTAATCTCACCAGGCATGCAAAAAGGTAGGAAAACATGACCCACAGTGAGAATAATCAATCAGAACTAACCTGGAATTGACCAGAATAAACATAGGAGGACATTAATACAGTTATTATAACTCTTCTGTAAATAGGCAAATAGAGACATGGGAGATATTTTAAAAATCCCAGGTCAAACGTCTAGAGATGAAAACTATCATGACTGAGGTGAAGAATTACACTGCTTTGAATTAATAGGTGATTAGAAATTATAGAAGAAAAGATTAATGATCTTGAAAATGGAGCAGGGGAAACTGTAAAATGAAACACAGAAAAATACTTTAAAAATGAAAAGAGCATCAGTGAGCTGTGGGCAACTCCATGCACCATTATATGTGATAGTTAGGGTCCCTGAAGGAGAGAAGTAGGATGGGATGAAACAAAACATATTTGAAGAAATAATGGCCCAAAATTTTTCAGCTCAAAAATTGAAAGCTGTATGTACACAGATGCAATAGTTCAGCAAACCCTAAGTGCAAGAAATATGATGAAAACTACACCAAACCCAGTGATGAAAGAGAACATTTTAAATGCAATAGGATAAAAAGAATATGTTAAAGGGGAACAAAGATAAACATGTCAGTCATCACATTTCTCATTGGAAACAATGTAAGTGAGCAAAATCTTCAAAGAACTGAAAGAAAAACCTAGAATTAAAAGATTACCCGAGACTTCCGCCAAGATGGAGGCATAGGTGGATGTGCCGTGCCTTCTCACACAACCAAGATTAGAGAAAACTAAATATTAGCAACAGAAAACACAGCCAGAACACAGAAAATTGAACTTTTCGGAAGTCCGTTAACAACAAATTCTTCAGCCTGACCGGTAAGGGGTGAAACCAGAGGCTGGTAAAGCAGGGTTGCACAGGAAAACTCGGTCAGACGGGCTCAGGTGCGGAATCCAGGCGCAGGGTTGGACCCAGTGAGCAACCGCGCGAGCAACCAGGCCAGCGACCGACCGCGGGGGAGACAGCCGGGCCGGGGCTGCGTGTTGACTGAGGTCGCGCATTTGTGCGCGGGTGGACAGGCAAGGGAGTGGGCGATTGGACCGGGCCGGCAGGTCCCCACGGCAAGCGGCAGTGGAGGGGGCCGCCATTTCCCTGCTCTGACCCCACCTCCACATACAGCGTCATAACCCAGCGACTCTGAGCGGCCCGGCCCTGGTGAACCACCTAAGGCACTGCTCCTCCACACCCAGCTGTGAGAAGCGGCAGAGGGGGTCGCCATTTCCCCGCTCGGGCCACGCCCCCACATACAGCGTCACAACCCAGCGACCTGGGAATCCAAGGCACCACTTCTTAAAGGGCCCGAACAGACCAAGAATGGCGCAGGAGGATCTCAGAGCCCCAGAAATAAATCTAAGCGATGAAGAAATAGCAAATCTCACAGACGCACAGTTTAAAACATTGGTTATCAAGATCCTCACAGAACTGGTTGATTATACGGACAAATTAGACAAATATATGAAGGCGAAACTAATTGAAATGAATGGAATTGCACAGGACACCAATAGCAATGAAAAGGAAACTGGGACTCAAATCAATGGAGTGGACCAGAAGAAAGCAAATAATGGCCAAACAGAAAAGAGTCAAGAAGCAAGAATTCAAAGAAATGAGGAGAGTCTTAGGAACCTCCAGGACATCTTTAAACGCTCCAACATCCGAATTATAGGGGTACCAAAAGGGGGAAAGGCACAGCCACCAGTGGAAAACTTATTTGAACAAATAATAAAGGAGAATTTCCCCAATCTGGCAAAGGAAATAGACTTCCAGGAAATCCAGGAAGCTCAGAGAGTACCAAAGAAGTTGGACCCAAGAAGGAACACACCAAGGCACATCGTAATTACATTAGCCAAGATAAAAATGAAGGAGAGAATCCTAGAAGCAGCAAGAGCTAAGGGGACAGTCACCTACAAAGGAGTCCCCATCAGACTGTCAGCAGATTTCTCAAAAGAGACCTTACAGGCAAGAAGGGGCTGGAAAGAAGTATTCCAAGTCATGAAATCTAAAGACCTACAACCAAGATTGCTCTATCCAGCAAAACTTTCATTTAAAATGGAAGGACAGATAAGGTGCTTCTCAGATAAGATCAAATTCAAGGAGTTCATCATCACCAAGCCCTTATTATATGAAATGTTAAAGGGACTTATCTAAGAAAAAGAAGTTAAAGAAACATGAACAGTGAAAGGACAACAAACTCACAGTTATTAACAACCACACCTAAAACAAAAGCAAACTAAAAGGACAGCTAGATCAGGAGTGGAAACATAGAAATGAAGATCTCAAGGAGGGTTAGCAACAAGGGAGTGGGAGGAGGAGAAGGGGGGAGAAGGTACAGAAAATAAGTAGCATAGACAGTAGATAGAAAATAGATGGGGGGGCAAGAATAGCATGGGAAATATAGAATCTAAAGGACTTGAGACACATGGTCATAAACTAAAGGGGGGTGATGGTGGGGATGGGGGTAGGGTGGAGGGGAATAAAGGGGGAATAGAACAACTGTAACAGCATAATCAATAAAAAAATTTAAAAAAAAAAAAAGATTACCCGAAATGATAATGATATATCATAAATATATATATAGGGTGTGGCACAGGTAATGCCCCTTTTTATTACAAAATCATAAGCATTTGATTCTGTAGCATAACATCACACTCAAGAAGCACACCATAGGACATTTTAGGTGAAATGTTCAAATTAAAAATATGAATTATTACACCTATATTATTACCCTACCAACTATACTCTGTGTGTGTGTGTGTATGTGTGTGTCAATTATCATTAAAAGTTAATAGTGATGGTTAATTTATGTGTTAACTTGACTGGATCACAGGGTGCCCAGATATTTGGTCAAACATTATTTTGGTTGTTGCTATAAGTATTTTGGATGAGATTAACATTTAAGTTGGGGAACTTGAGTAAGACAGATTGCCCTCCATAATGTTGGTGAGCCTCATCAAATCATCTGAAGGCCTAACTAGAACAAAGGGCTGAAGCATCTTTCCCCACCCCCAAGCAAGAGGGAAGTGCCTTTGAACTTCATCTGCAGCTTTGGCCTTTCCTGCCTAATGGCCTTTTAGCAGGAGCATTGATTTTGCCTGGGTCTTGAGCCTGTTCAACACAGCAGGTTGGATGTTGGAAGTTGCCAGTTACCATATTCATGTGAACCAATACCTTATACATTCATCCCTTGCTATATTGCGGTTCACTTCTTGTGGCTTCACCGTATCACAGTTTTAAAATATATATATATATCTAATTCTGTATCACAGAGTTTTCACTATATCACGGGATTTTGCGGTATATAGGTATTTATATAATATTTACGATTTTAATTATTTTTACCTAAAACATTTAAAACAATATAAAAAATATAAAAATGTTAACTCAAACATATTGAAAGAATATTAAATCAAAATAAAATATAGTATATTTCATCAGCGGATGAATACTGTACTATACACAATGGAAATGCAGTATGCCACTGCTAGTTGTGCAAGTTGGCCAGCCTGAGATTGTACATGGCACACTATTGGCTGATGGAATGGAGGGTGACCAACCACAGCACTGTGTTCTGTATCCTGGGTGCTGATTGTCTCAGTGACCATGGCATTGTTCTGTTTGCTCTCTTACTGTGCCCATATGTTCAGCATCTCTCCTTGTCCACTTCACATCGACATCTGATCACTGTGCATAGTGTTGCTCTGTGGTATTGTGTTTATGTGAAA